AGCCAGGTGTGGTAGCACATGCCTGTAGTCCCAGCTACTTGGGAGGCTGAGGCAGGAGAATTGCTTGAGCTTGGGAGGCGGGGGTTGCAGTGAGCTGAGATGACACCACTGCACTCCAGCCTGGGCAACAGAGCAAGACTCCATCTAAAAAAAAAAAAAAAAAAAAAAGCCAGAAAAAAAAAAAAAGAAATTGGAGTGGAGGTAGACTGGGGACAGATGGTGATAGCCTTGACTGCCATTCTGAAGGAGTTATCTTGTTTTGTCAAGAGCTGGGGACTCAAGTACAAGGCCACGTGCTGCCTGTGGTCTGAAAGCTGTTTGTGGAGAAGAGTTCTCCACCATTCTCTGGTGGTGGTTATCTGAAAGAAGGCAGCATTTCATGAGCTTATGACCTTATTTCAGATGATAAAACCTGAGACCCAGGGGCCGCCCAAGAGGTCTGCCAAAGCAGATCATGTGGAATATTTGTTCTTGCCATGTCTCTGAAACGTGGCAATTGTCTTATGCAATATTTGAGCTCTTAATATGTGCCAGACACTGCAATTGCGTTATTTCATCTCATCCTAAAAGAGCCTCATGAGAAATCCGAGGCATGGAGAGGTCAAACAGTCACACGGTGTTGGATTTAGTATTTGAACCCAGACCTATGTGATTCTAGAATTCTAGAGTTCTTAACCACTCTGCTCTGCAGTCTCTAATATTCTGACACCTGGTTCTAATGCTGATTTGAACATTAAGGCACAGTGTGACAGTGTCTTAAACCTCCTTGAGCCTCAGTTTCCTCGCCTGTAGTGACCTTTGCCTCACAGTGCTGTTGAGAGGAGCTGAGATGAGAGCTTAGAGTTTGAACACCATGGGATCCTCATCCCCACCTCACAGAGGAGGAAGCAGAAGACAGAGCGTGAAGGGATTTGCCCAAGTTTGTAACAGAGCTGGAACTAGAATCTAGGCCTTCTGGCTCCCATAAAAACATTGTCTGAGTTCAGCTAATCAGTGGTGGCATCAAAGAAGAGACAACCATTTGTGTTTATCTCCCTCCTTCCCCCAGCCCAGGGTGGGGAGGCTGGCTGCTGTCACTTCCCCAGATTCTGGCATTGACAGCTTCTCTGAGTCGTGCCTGGACCAGGCTTCCTCCTCTCCCCTGAAAGGGAGGATTGAGTCTTCACCAGGGTGGTGGGGGAGCTAAATTGTCAGGTCTGCCCAGTTACTCACAGATTTGGGGCACGAGGACCTGGGGGAGGCCCCATGCCTCACTCAGTCTTCCAGGGGCTTACATATGCCAGGCTCTGTGCCCAGCACCATGGGGGAGAAGCAGACTATTCTAGAAGACTTCCCTTGATACCCACCCCAGTGAGAAGCATGCTTTCTAGAAGTATTTCAGTGGTTCTTCAGTTTAGGACATTTAAAATAATTTTTGTCGAACATTTTCATAGCCTCTTCATAGTTTGACTTGTGTTTTTGTTTGTTTGTTTTTTGAGACAGAGTCTCACTCTATTGCCCAGGCTGGAGTGCGAGATCTCGGCTCACTGCAACCTCCACCTCCTGGGTTCAAGCATTTCTCATGCCTCAGACTCCCAAGTAGTTTGGATTACAAGTGTGCGCCACCACACCCGCCTGATTTTTGTATTTTTATTAGAGAGGAGTTTTTGCCTTGTTGGTCAGGTTGATCTCGAACTACTGACTGCAAATGAGCTGCCCACCTCGGCCTCCCAGAGTGCCAGGATTACAGTCATGAGCCACTGCGCCCAGGCCTGACTTGTTTTTCAAAAGTGTTTCTTAAAATTGAGTCTAGAACATCTTCCTTCCTTCCTTTCTGTCCTTTCCCTTCCTTCGTCCCTCTCTCTCTCTTTCTCTTCTTTGTGAGAGCATCTTGAAAAGCATACAAAAGGGCTTACATTTTTTTTACCCAAATCCTGGTCCAGTGACCACCACCAGACTTCAACCAACTTTTTACCTCTCCAGCATGAAATGAGAAAATGATGGTGTGAGCGAGTGTGTAATGTTCAGTAAGCATATCAGTTCTCCTTTCCTGGAAGACTGTTCTTAAGCTTTTCCTTACTATATTTTGGAAGATTAAAATGTCCTTTATTTTATAAAATGATGGCAATAATCTACAAATAATCTACAAATCTAAAAAAAATAGATTTTAGATGGTAAAAATCTAAAACGGTAATAATCTACAAATAATCTACAAATAATCTACAAATACAAAGTTAGGCCAGGTGCAGAGGCTCACACCCGTAATCCCAGCACTTTGGGAGGCCGAGGCAGGCAGATCACGAGGTCAGGAGATCGAGACCATCCTGGCTAACATGGTGAAACCCCGTCTCTACTAAAAATACAAAAAATTAGCTGGGCGTGGTGGCAGGTGCCTGTAGTCCCAGCTACTCAAGAGGCTGAGACCGGAGAATGGTGTAAACCCGGGAGGTGGAGCTTGCAGTGAGCTGAGATCAAGCCACAGCACTCCAGCCTGGGCGACAGAGTGAGACTCCGTCTAAAAATAATAATAATCTACAAATAGGTTTTTTCAGCATCCTTGTTTATCAGCCCATATCAACTCTCCCATTAAAAAATATTACTCATTTGGCCAGGCACAGTGGCTCATGCCTGTAATCCCAGCACTTTGGGATGCTTAGGTGGGCAGACCAGTTGAGGCCAGGATTTCAAGACCAGCCTGGCCAACATGGCAAAACCCCGTCTCTACTAAAAATACAAAACTTAGCCAGGTGTGGTGGCACATGCCTGTAGTCTCAGTCACTCTGGAGGCTGAGGATCACTTGAACCCAGGAGGCGGAGGTTTCAGTGAGCCGAAATCATGCAATTGCACTCCAACCTGGGCAACAGAGCAAGACTCTGTCTCAAAAACAAAAAAAAAAAGGTTGGGCGCGGTGGTTCACGGCTGTAATCCCAGCACTTTGGGAGGCTGAGGTGGGCAGATCAAAAGGTCAGGAGATCAAGACCATCCTGGCTAACACAGTAAAACCCCATCTCTACTAAAAATACAAGAAATTAGCCGGGCGAGGTGGCAGGTGCCTGTAGTCCCAGCTACTTGCAAGGCTGAGGCAGGAGAATCACTTGAACTCAGGAGGTGGAGGTTGCAGTGAGCCGAGATTGCACATCTGCACTCCAGCCTGGGCGACAGAGCAAGACTCAGTCTCAAAATTAATTAATTAATTAATTAATTAAATTTTTTTAAAAATTACTCATTTATGAAATCTGGGAGCCACTGACACTGCTTTGTGATGCAGAAAGCCCTTTTGTATTAGTTATTCCTCTTAGAGGTTTGGGACTTTCAGCCCCACCCAACAACCTCTGGGGAGGGGAGAGGGACTAGAATGTCAAGTTGATCACCAATGGCCAATGGTTCAATCAATCATGCCTACGTAACGAAGCCTCCATGAAAAACGCAAGAGGATTGGGTTTGGAGAGCTTCCGCATAGCTGAACACGTGGAGCTTCCTGGATGGTGGCCCCCAAGGAGGGCATGGAAGCTCCCGCCCTTTCTCCCATACCTTGTCCTATGCATCTCATCATCTGCATCCTTTGTACTATCCTTTATAATAAACCAGTCACTGTAAGTGTCTTCCCAAGTTCTATGAGCCACTCCAGCAAATTAATCAAACTCAAAGAGGAGGTCAAGGAAACCTCAACTTGAAGCCCATCTATCAAAAGTTCTGGAGGCCCAGACTTGTGACACTGTCTCCGGGTAGGTAGTGTCAGAACTGATGTCCGCTGCAGAGCTGATTGTTTGTTTGGCGGTGGGGAGAGCGCCTCCCACACACACGGAAGTCTTCTTGCATGTGGATGCTTATTGTGGTGTGAGAGCAGAAGAAAAATGGTTTGAGTTTTCTCCAAACAAAACTCATCTCTGAATTGAGGGTCGGGAGGTTTTTAGGGCACCTCAAGTGCATAGCTGGAGTGAGGATAATAGCAGGTCTGGCCAGATCCTAGGAGAAGAAAGAGGTGGTCTGGGAGGCCCCCAGGGATGGTAACAGGAGCCAGACTGCAAGGATCTAGGGACAGGTCAAGCAGTGTCAAACTCCCCCTTGGGTTTCCCTGACAGGGATGAGAAGTCCTGTTCTAGGGCCCCTCCCCTGATAGAGGGTCTGCTGCCTGGGGCTGCAAGGCAGCCCTAATGCACAGGGCATGGGGCAGGGTCTAGTGTAACTGAAGGTCCTGCCTTGCCTTTGGAAGAATCCCATTGTAGCAGCCCATCCTCGCATTGACCTCCCACCCTCTACCCACACCTCACTGTTACCTCATTTCTTCCAGAAGCGCCAAGAACCAGAACCAGAACAGCCACCCAGACCAGAGCCCCAGGAATTAGGTCCCCTCAATGGGGACACAGGTGAGTAGCCAGCCCCACAAAGGCCCCAACCGCCATCTATGAGGTTTCCTACCTTATAATCAACACAGATGATATAGCTACTGAAATATCTCATGAGATCTTAGATAGGTTACCTTAATAGGAGTATTGTGTCTAAAATCAGGGAGGTAATAGTCCTGACCTGTGCTTCCCTATTCTGGGCTGTTGATACCACACCTAGAGTGCTATATATGTTTCTAGAAAGTACATTTTTAAAGGGATCCAGAAAAAAATTGGAGGGAGTGCAATGGAGCAAGATCAGACTGGTGAAGAATCTGGAAAGCATGTCCTATAAGGAACAGTTAAAGGAACAGAGAATGTTCATCTGGAAAGAAGATGTGGCCATAGGGAGGGAGGGATGGGAACAAGGGTTGAAAAACTGTTGGGTACTATTCTTAGTACCTGGGTAACAGGATCATTTGTATCCCAAAACTCAGCATCACCCAATATACCCAGGTAATGAATCTGCATGTGTACCCCTAAATCTAAACAAAAGTTGAAAAAGAAAAAATATATATATAAAATAAGTTAAAATCGATTTTAATTTGTAATGGATTGTCTGGGAACCTTCTAACTTAAATATGTAATTTTCTTTTTCAAATGAGTAGAGCTAAATACAATGAAATAATATTTTATTTTGTTTTCTTTTATTTGAAATTTGCATGGTATGAAAATAAAAATTACTACACCCAGAAAAACATATATGTTGCCATAAAACAACAGTTTTCTCCACGTGTCTGAAGTGCCCTAATGGAGAAGAAAGATGAGCCTTGTTTAGTGTGATACAGAGGTCAGTATTAAGGCCTCAGGGTAGCAGCAACATGCAGGCAGAATTCAGCTCATTCTCAAAGAATGTTTTGTGTGGTTGTTGATTTAAAACCGTCAGAGCTACCTGGTAATAGGAGGAGCTCCCTATCTCTGAAGGTGTTTAGTTACAGCCTAGAGGCTGTTGGGAATATTGTAGGTGAAGTTCAAGTACCGCGTAAGTAATTGAACCACAAAATCCAATCTGATTGTATATAAGAATTATCCAGGCCAGGTGCAGTGGCTCTTGCCTAAAATCCCAGCACTTTGAGAGGCCAAGGTGGATGGAATGCTTGAGCCCAGGAGTTCAAGACCAGCCTGGGCAACATGGTGAAACCCTGTCTCTACCAAAAATACACACACAAAAAATTAGCTGGGCTTGGTGGCGTGCCTGTAGTCCCAGCTACTTGAGAAACTGAGGTGGGAGGATCATCTGAGCCAGGGAGGTTGAGACTGCAGTGAGCTGTGATTGCACCACTGCACTCCAACCTGGGCAACAGAGCAAGACCCTGTCTCAAAAAAGGAAAAATTACCTGGAGAACTTCAAAGATGCAGATTCTAGGGACCTACCACAGACCAAATAAATAAAAATCTCAGTGGGGCTGAAGAAGCTGCATTTTTAATAAAAAATATATATATGCTATACATATATTCATTTTTTATCTTTATTTTTATTTTTTTGAGACAGAGTTTTGCTCTTGTTACTAGGCTGGAGTGCACTGGCAGGATCTCAGCTCACTGCAACCTCCAACTCCCAGGTTCAAGCAATTCTCCTTCCTCAGCCTCCCAAGTAGCTGGGATTACAGGCACCTGCCACCACGCCCAGTTAAATTTTTTGTATTTTTGGTAGAGATGGGGCTTCACCATGGCCAGGCTAGTCTGGAACTCCTGACCTCAAGTGATTCACTCACCTCGGCTTCCCAAAGTGCTGGGATTACAGGTGTGAGCCACTGCGCCAGGCAAAGAAAGATAGATAGATTGATTGATTGATTGATTGATTGATTGATTTCTAATAAGCTTCTCTTCAGTTGGGGTCAATCTGGTACTAATCTTGTGGACCAAAATTTGAGCCAAATGAATTGTGAGAATTCAGGGCTCTCTGATCTTAACTGTTGCCATCACCTGACCTCTGTCTATCTGCTCATGGCCTCTGGGACTCAGTGGCACCAGCTCACTCCTCCTGTCCTGACAGGACTGACCAGCATTGGGGTCGTCCTCATCCTCACATTTCTTCCATATCCGTTGCCAGACCTTGCTGATGGAATTTTCTAATAATAATGCTAACATTAATAATAATGCCAACAACACTAGTATTAGGCTCTAATGCTTGTCGTGAGCACTGATAAACATTTAGAGAACATTTCCTGAATAATAAGGAACATTTATTGAGTACTTCCAAAGTGCCTGGGCAACCACCATGTTGCCCAGGCCAGTCTCAAACTCCTAGGCTCAAGCAATGCAGACTCATTGGCTTCCCAAAGTGCTAGGATTACAGGCGTGAGCCACTGCAACCCGCCTGCACCAAGTATTTTTGTTTTTTGAAACGGAGTCTCTGTGGCCCAGGCTGGAGTGCAGTGGTGCCATCTTGGCTCACTGCAACCTCTGCCTCCCGGGTTCAAGTGATTCTCCTGCCTCGGCCTTCCGAGTAGCTGGGATTTTTTTGTATTTTTAGTAGAGACAGGGTTTCACTATGCTGTCCAGGCTGGTCTTGAACTCCTGGGCTCAAGTGATCCACTCACCTCGGCCTTCCAAAGTGCTGGGATTACAGGTGTGAGCCACCGTGCCTGGCCTACATTTCCTTTTGTGCACAAGCAAGCAGGATAAGGTGGTAGTTGGGAGTATTTGCCGTGGAAACAGATTGTGTAGGTTCATATCCCTGCTTCCTTAATTTTGAACTGGGTGACCTTGAACAAGTAGCATGACTCCTCTGAGCCTCAGCTTCCTCGTCTGTAGGTTGGGGGTAATAACATTACTCACGACTATTGGGTAGCTGTGAGGAGCAGGTGAGTCAGTCATCCCTCTGAGGTACTTGGAACAGTGCTGGACATGTTGCAGGCATGGTAAGTTCTCAGTCCTCCTACCCTGCTTTTGTTATTTTTATTGCCATTGTTTCCTGATTTAATCATCTCAGCCTCACTCATGTGGTAGGTGCCATAATTATCCTGATCCCATGTATTAGGTAACTGAGGCACTGAGAGGATGGCCACTGCCCTAGGTCCTACCTAGCATCTGATAGACTCGGTGGTGTGGCATTGGCGGAGCCTGTTTTGGAGTTTCCTTAAGCAGGGGCTAGACTTCCTGGTTGTGTTTGCTTCCTGCTCTCAAGTAGCACCCTCTACTACCAGCTGAGGAGACGATAAAGGTGAGGGGCCACACACTCAGATGCTCATGGGCCCCAGCAGGTAAAGCAAATGACACGTGGCCCTTTGTATGCATTTTTAATAATAGCAGGAGGTGAAGACTGTAGCCAACTGCACAGCCACATCTTGGCCAGCCGAAGAGGAGGCAGCTGCTTCTGGCTCCAGCCCATGGTTGACATGAAGGCATACATGGCCAGTTCTTCTTTGGATTCTTCAAGAAAAATTGGAAATCAGAATTATTAAGTAAAAACTCCCCAGTTGTTAAGCATCAACAACTAATTTTTAAATTATTGTTATTATTATTTTAGAGACAGGGTCTTGCTCTGTTGCCCAGACTGGAGTGCAGTGGTGCAGTCATAGCTTACTGCAGCCTCAAACTCCTGTGCTCAAGCCATCCTCCTGCTTTGGTCTCCCTAGTAGCTGGGACTGCAGGTGCATGACATCATGCCCAGCCTTTTTTTTTTTTTTTTTTTTAAGAGATAGGGTCTCACTATGTTGCCCAGTCTAGTCTCCAACTCTTGGTCTCAAGTGATCCTCCCACCTCAGCCTCCCAAAGTGCTGGGACTACAGATGTGAGCCACCATATCTGGCCAGCAACTGATTTTTTTTAAAATGGGATAGAACATGGAGACCGGGACAAAATGAGACCATTGGCTTATTCCTTGAAAGAGGATCTCCAAATCCAAAGAGACTTGAGGGGCTGTTTCTGGAGACTGGTCCCACCTGAGATCATTCTTGAGGCAGAGACCAGAGTTCTCATTCCTTAGCCCCATTTCCCACACGCTCTCTGCCAGCTCTGACTGTACTTCCACTCTGTGAGATTTTTTTTTTGCTTTTTCATCTCTAGCTGTAACTGTCCAGCTCTGTGCATCCGAGGAGGCTGAGCGGCACCAGAAGGATATAACCAGAATTCTCCAGCAACATGAGGAGGAAAAGAAGAAATGGGCACAACAGGTAAGTCCAGGTGCCCCCACCCCCTGTCTTTCTCCTGCTCAGCTAACTTTGGTGAATCCCAGAGTGAGTGCCTACCTTAGGTTTTTGTTGCTGTTCTAAGAGTCCCTTACTCATTTTGCCAAGAATGGAGTCCTTTATCTGTTGAACACATACTTTTATCAGGGCACTGTGTGCTGGGCACATTAGTTAAAACAAGCAGAGCTGGCAACTGCTTTCATGAAGCCGAGAGTTTATTTGGGAAGAGTAAAAGCTGTTGATGCTGCTAGATTAATTGCCTTTCTGGGCCCACCTCATGGTTGGGCAGGACCACGGAACACATTCTGGCTGATGCGTTGTAGAAAGAAGAACCAGTGTCACTTCTAGGGCAAGCATTTAGTTGCCAGTTCAAGACCCTCAAGGTCTTTCCATCTAGCTAAGTGACAGGACTGTTAGAATGGCTGTTCCATCAGCCTCATCTCTGGATGATTATCCCTGGATAATCCCTGGGCAGCAGAGCTCCCTGCCACACAAAATGGGTAGGTAGTGAGGGCAGAATAAACCTTTTGTCTTAAGCCACTGAGACTTTGCCATTGTTTGTTATGGCCACATGATTTAGCCTCTCCTGACTGAGATAGGACATCAGACGCTAAACACAATTACACAGAACTACTTATTGCAATTATAAGTGCTATGAAAAGTTTACAGTGCCACGAAAGGACACAATAGAACCGAGGCTGTGGGATCAGAGAAGCCTTGACCTTAACCAAGGCTGTGGGATCAGAGAAGGCTTCTCTAAAGGGATGATACTGAGGCTTTAAAATTACCCAGAAATGAAAATTGTGGGACATTCTATAGAATTTCCCGCCTATATTCGTCAAATGTCAAGGCCATGAGACATGAGGAAAGACAGGGGAACAATTCTAGATTGAAGGATGTTAAGCGATGGGATGACTGAATGTAACCTGCAGTCCGGGATTTCCTTTTCCTCATTCTAACTTGGTCACTCACCCTTCACCTCTCTTTGCCTCCATTTCTTCCTTTACCAGAGGGAGTGGGTAGAGCAGCAGGAAAGATTTGGTGGTGTACACAAGTTTTCTCTAAATTTTCTTTAGTTTAAATTATAAATATGAAATATGTTCAGGTAAATATTCAAAATTCTGGAATTTAAAGTCACTTCTTTCAAATGGATCTGGGCCAGGCACGCCTATAATCCCAGCACTTTGGGAGGCCGAGGCAGGCAGATCACCTGAGGTCAGGAGTTCGAGACCAGCCTGGGCAACATGGTGAGACCGTCTCCACAAAAATACAAACATTAGCCAGGCATGGTAGCGCGTGCCTGTAATCCCAGCTACTTGGGAGCCTGAGGCAGGAGAATCACTTGAACCCGGGAGGCAGAGGTTGCAGTGAGCTGAGATCACACTACTGCATTCTAGCCTGGGTGGCAGAGCAAGAATCTATCTCAAAAAAAAAAAAAAAAAAAGGCTCTGTAGTTATAAACTAATTGCTCTATTAAATTGCATGGTTATTTATTACTAAAAGATTTTCTGCTAGATTTTATTCACTCAGTCGACTTGCTGGGGGAGATTACTGTGTGCAGGGAGGCTGTGGCCTCGGCACTGCCAGGGGTACAGGGAGAAATCGGGTCCAGACCCTGCCCTCAGGTATTCGCTGGGTGGAAGACTGCAGGGAGTGCCCCCCTACACATTAAAATGGTCTTAGCTTAGACACGTTTTTCAGAAACACACCTTTTATGAAAGATAGGTTAACTGTATGCATCTGCCGGTCTTTAGTTTGTTTTGGTAGAGTTACCATGGTGATGTCATTTGGCCCTGACCATTACCTGTGGAATCCTTAACCTTGAGACTTGAAGGGCCCCAGGAATTGTCAAGTTGAGTCGCTTCATTATACAGGGGAGGGAGCTCATTACACAGGAACTTAGTGGTATGCTGGGGCTAGAACCCCTTTAAGTCATGCCTTGCCTCTGGACATGCCCCATCAGCTGGACCTTCCAGGTGGCAAAGGGACTGGAAAACATCTCAAGTGCAGGACAGTGAGAATGGCTGGCAGGGTTCAGCCTGGAGAAGAGAAATGTTGGGAACACAGGCCACTGTGCTCAGATCTCTGAGGGGCTGCCTGGGTTGAGGGAACAGCCTGGCTCTGTGTGACCCCAGAGGGAAGATCTGGGACCTGATGGTAGAAGTTGGAGGTCACTTGCAACAGTAAGCCTTATGCGAGCAGAGAAACACTATAGGAGGCTTCCTGTCTTGAGTAAGCATCAGGATTAGAATACTCCTAAATCCGGCCGGGCGCAGTGGCT